TGACTGTGGAATACTGCAAACAGCCATAAATAATGTGTTGGTTGCCAAGTACCCAAAATATGGATAAAGAACTTGGATGAGGGTGGAATTTTGGAACCTGGTCATAGGTACCTCTTGGTACTTATTATAACTTATACGAAGTATAGAACAAGGAAGGATTTACTTTAAGTATATGTTTGGGGAAGAAGAGGCCCTTGTCTTACAACAAAGGCCTCAACAGAGTGACAATTAGAGACCATTATCCACTCCTACTTATCGCAGATCCATTATACCAAGTACAAAAGGCACACATCTTTACAAAAGTAGACTTGAGAAGTACTTACAACATAATCAAAATAAAAGGAGGACATGAGTATTTAATTTATACAAGTTATGGCAAATTCAAATACACAGAGGGCAGATTCGGATTGGCTAATTGTGGATCTGTTTTTCTGGACTCATAAACAACATATTTGCAAACATTTTAGATAAGTACGTGATGGTGTACTTAGCTGATATATTTGTTTATTCCTAAAATCCTTCCTTGCATGTCACATGTATCAGAACCATACTGTAAAAAATATGGGACAAGTTTCATCAAACTAGAGAAGTGTGCATTTGATCTGCCTCAACTAAACTATATGGGCAACAGAATTTCCACAGAAAGCATACAGAAGGATTTAGCAAAGTTAGTCTACGTTATCATAGTGCATACACACACACACTGTAATATTGAAGATGTACAATGCTTTTTGGACTTTGCTAACTTCTACAGGAAATTCATCCCAAATTTTGCTGACCATGTAAAACCACTGTCCCAGCTCTTAAAAGATCAGCAATTCTTTTGGTCAACCCAAGAGCAGACAGCATTTCAAGAATTAAAACAAATCTGTGCTTCTCGGTCTTCGGCCATCCTGACCCTTTGTGAAGACAGATGCTTCAGATGTGGCCATAGAAACAATTCTGATCCAGGTGGAGAAAGAAGGGGGGAGAGATTTGTTTTAGTGTATTAGTGTGCCTTTTACTCCAGAATTCTCCTTCCAGCACAAAGGAACTATGATATTTTCCATAAGGAGTTCCTGGCAATAAAAAATATTATTGTTCAATAATGGAGACACTTACTGGAAGGAGCAGCCCACACTAAATAAAGTCGGTTCAGACCAAAAGAATTTAGAAGTCTTCCAAGAAACTAGACTTACAATGTATTGGCCTTGTCCCAGTGATTAAGCAGATAAACCAAGTAGCATTTCAGTTGCAACTGCCAGCATCAATGAAGACGTCACCCTATATTCCATCAATCTTTGCTAGTGAAAGAGGCATCTCCCCAGACTCTGCTATACAGGGAGAAAAAGTACAAGGTGAAAGCAGTGCTAGACTGTAGGTGCTAGACTGTAGACAAAAAGGAAAATAGGTTGAATATTTGAAAAATTTGAAATAGGTTGAATATGAAAAAGCTACCCAGAATCAGACTCATGCATGAATTGTAACTGGTACACTGCTTTCACAACCAATACCCTAATAAATCTATGCTTGCCAACTATCAGACTTGCAGAGTTTGGCAGTGACCAAAATGAACAGAAGGGATTCTTGTATAGGGTGGAGGTGCCTTGGGGGTAGCAATGGGAAATGAGGCAGGAGATACTGTATATATACAGACATGAGAGGTAAAGGCCAACTAATTCCCAATGAAGGGGAGGCTCTACTGATGCACCAGATGCCTCGTGTGGTCTTGGAGAGTTATCAGTAGATGAGAGGAGCCACACAGCTACATTTTGTTTTCACAGCCCACAATCTGTGTCCCTGGGGACTTGGGGGGTGGGGAGGATGATCTGAAAGGGGAAATGATATAACAGTATGTGGAAAGATCTTGGGAGACTGGGCAAAAAGGTCCTGCCAGGAAAGTGTCAGATAAAAGAGAACATAGCCTGCAACTGGAGAGTGGGTAGCACCAGAGGCTCAGAAGAGATTCTCCTTAGTGTCTTGGGCTATAAAGAAGATGGGCAGAGAATTGTACTTACAGGCTTGTAAGATTCTGTCAATGTAACTTTACAAGTTACATTGGAATTAGATCATCTCATGTAACTAATGTAACTAATTCTATAAGAAGTGCCATAGATCAGGGGTGTCAAACTCAAGGCCCATGGGCCAGATCCACAGGGGGCTTAGATCTGGCCCATGGGGCCACCCTGGAAACAGTGAGGGACTGGCCTGCGGTGCCTCTGCCAGCAAAAATGGAGCTCGGGTTTTCACTGGCAGACGGTTGCAGGGGGCCTTCGCAGCCAGAAACGGAGCTCGGGAGCCTGTTTTTGCTGGCAAAGCGCTCGGGCCCCCACCATGAGTGACGTTGAGCTGGCCATGCCCACCCTGGCCACACCCTCAATGAAATCGAGTTTGACACTCCTGTCATAGATCATCTGGCTGTGATACTTACCTGGTTTATCACACAAGGTTACAAACCGCTTAATGATCCATCACCTCCTATGTTCAACTGAACACATTTTTCTAGTAGACTTCTCTATCTGAGTCCTGTGACATTGCTACCCATTGAGATAGGTAACTTTACATTTCCTAGGAAGTTTATTTTCGAGTGTAGGTCACTTACTGCATTAAAGTACCTCTTCAACTGGCTGTACTCAGAATGCTCCAAGTGCTTAAGGAAGGCCTCTTCTCCTTCCCTGGAGGAGGCAAAGGCAAGCCACTTATCACATGGCCAATTCCTATAGAAAAGATTGCCCTGCTGCCTTGGAAAAAACCTTTACATGTTTTAATACCTCCCATTTCACAAGTTTTGCTTACTAATTAACACCACCTCTTGAACTTTAAGAAATCAGTCCATTTTCAAAAGAGGAGGGAAGATAAATCTAGTTCCTGTGCAGTTTACAAATGTAATTTTAACTATGAAAAATAATGCAGATACACAAAGACGAAAAAAACCTCCCTGAAACAAATCTCAACTCCTGATGACTTCCCAGACACATCCTTTTGCTACAAGATCCTTTGCTACAGGATCCTTTGACAGTCAAGGCTATGCCTGTGGAATATACTGGTATCCTCCCAGCTAAGAATTAACAAGATCAGGCCTATCTTACCTTTCTTAAGATCAGTTACAATGAGCTTTGGTGCTTACCCACCACAGACTAAAATGAAAACACTCCCTTTGAATCCAGCTTAGATTTTATTTCCACATCTGTACTTTTTGCACCAATTTCAGAAAACTCTTGCTGCTGCCTTTTCAACTTCACAGCCTAGCCTATAAACCTTGAGATTTCCCTGTGATCCCCCTTCCAAATACTAATCATCTCCAATCCTGCTTAACTTTTTCAAACCAGCCAAGATCAGCTAAAGGTACTTAAAGAGTACTATCTCCATTACAGACTTTTAGGGAGCTGTTTAAAGTTATTTCTAGGTTAGTCTTTTATAGCATAGTTTATCTAACCTGACACTCAGGAAGATAATGGGGACAGGATTAATATTGCTATAACAATGGCTGCAAGGCATTAGAAGTCTTTATAAAGCAGTACTGCAGAAATGGTCTAAAACAAAATCCAGTTAGATATGTATTGGTGAGGACTATTGAGGGGGTAGTTATGATCAGGTCAAGTGCCTGCTCCTACTGGACTGGCAGGACTTCCTTCCAATCACTGCATAAAAGACTCAGGAGATAAGGCAGCACTCAGGGAGGGTATTATTAAAGAGCTGCCTTCTGTTCTTCCCACAGGGCCTTTTTACATCAACTTTCCTGTTGGAAGGACCCTTCATTATTTGAATACCTTAATTAAATCAGCCAAGAATATCTTTCTGCTATTTGTAGGCTGCTTCGGAAGACATTATCCTGGGAGGCAAGATATAAACAATTGTCAGTAAGTCAGTAAACTATTTCACTCTGTCTGGTCCCAACAGGGTACCTTTCCAAGCTATGCTGTCCAAATATTTTTCGATGGGATAAACTACAAATTGAAACTAGTACTTTACACCAACAGAAGTATTTCACATAGTACATACCATTAACAATCTCAATGATATGCATTTCACTGTGTAACACGGATACATACATACATAAAGAAATTTGTCTTTTATCTTGATTTTATCTGTTTATCCTGTTTTTATGTTTTTAGGATGTAAGCATCTTTTTAATCTGGCAGTATACAATTATAGTAAACCAAATAAATAAAACCAGGTGTAGGTTTGCAATCAAGAACCACTCCACACCTTACACTGACCAAGCAATGAAATATATGCATGTATCCTCAACACATGTAATAATTAAAATGTATGTTAGCAGGCTGGCTGGGAAATTCTGAGAGTTGAAGTCTACGCATCTTAAAGTGCTGCTGAGATTGAGAAACACTAAACTAAAATGTACTTTGCAAACACACAAGAGACCTTCTGCTATTATGTCTCCTATCTGAGTCTGGGTCCAAAGAAATATTTTCTGGCAAGGGCATAACAACAATGGTGGGTTATCTAAGGTTGTATTTTCACATATAATGAAGGATGAGAGAGTGGAAGAAGACACTGTGAAGCTAAAGCAACATGGAAGTTCTCCTGCACAATATCCACCAATTTATGATCTGTCTTTGTGTAGGGGTAGGCAGTTTGTGGGGCCCACTTGCTTTATATTAGAATCCCAAGATCCAACATTCAGAAATTGTTACAAACGGCATTCAGCAGTTCTTCCTAATCTAGTCCTGTGGCTATTAGTTCTAGTATGCTGGCTGGAAATTCTGGATGCTTTAGTCCAGGGGAGAACTTCAGGTGGAGAAAAACAAACTTAAATCTAGAGATTTGTTTTGAGGACCAGAACAAAAGCACACACAACAATGTTTCACAATAAAATCTCTACCGAGTTTGCCCATCCCTACCATTTTTCATTATAGCAGTCTACTCTATATGGTCCTCGGTTTTCTGCAAGAGGTTACACAGCTGCATAGTGATTTGCAAGGACCCGAAGATCTTCTCACCCTGCCTTTGCTTTCCCCTCCCCCCCTTCCCGTTTTCCTCTCCTGCAAGCATCCTTTTACCTTAAGCCCCCGGATCTCGCCCAGGTGGAGCTGCAGGCGGCGGTTGACCTCCCGGATGAGGTTGCTGTGATCCAGCATGGCACTCACTTTCTCTGACTCAGCTTTACGAAGGCTACGAATGAGATCTTCTTTGCTCCATTTCAGCAGGTCCTCATCAGACACCTTAGAGAGGTCTTCAGCCAGCCCTGCCCCACAACTCTCTGATGCTGCCGAGGTTCCAGCTCCACTGGAAGCCACCACTTTGGACATTTTGGTGGGCAAAGTTTCTTCCTGATGTCACAGCAAGAAAGATGCAGCTTCCAAGTACCCTCGGGGAAAATCCTCAAGCTTGCTCCGAGCACCTCTGCAGGTGAAATGAGGCAAGGGTATTCTTGAAGTCTCTTCTTTAAGCAGGACCTGTCCCTCAATCCCCGAGGGTCCTTAAATAACCCCTTTCCTCGACCAATACAATTGCTCCTCTGGGCCAGATAGGCAACTGAGTCTCCAGGGGATTCAAACAGCTTTTAGAATTCAGCAACAAGAGTTTTTGTGTAAAGAGAAAAGCCAGCCCTTCCCTTCTCCCAAAGTTCCTTCTGCCAGCTCTTGTTCAGAAGAAAGGAGAGTCTCCCAAGGTGGAGTAGGGCATTCCGAGGTCAACAAAACCCTTCACTCACTTTCTCTCCTGGCCTCTGGATATCTTTCCCCCTGGGAGGCGAGGCAAGGCAAGGCAAGGTGTGGAGGGGAGTTCCCGTAGTTTTACAGCCCAGCAAAACCGAGCAACGATCTTCAGCCTTAGTTCAACCGAAAGTCAACTTGGAATTCTGTAGTTTCACAGAGACACCTTCGGGCAAGGTGATCTTCTTTCAGAGGACCTTCTTCGTGGACGAACAGCCACGCGTACACTCAAGTGACTGGGACGAAGGAAAGAAAGTGACATCGGAGCTTGTAAAAGGCGGCATTGGAGTCACCGTCCAGAAGATCCTGGAAAGGGGGAGGGGGAGCGCCCTCACAGGCGTCCAGCCAAATACAATGGGAACGGTGGCTTCCTTGCCCCACGAAGAACCGGCAGCAAAAGCGCCCGTCGCAAAACAGGTTCCATTGGCGGTGGTAGTTGTATCTTCCCCGGATAACAAGGCCCACCCTTCTCCCTTGGAGAAGGCAGGGCAGCCGGGACGATTGGCGTACAAGAGCCCGGAAAGGAGGAGAGAAGAGAGTATAAAGTACAGTACAACTGTCTGGATGACGCACCCAGGGCGAGCGCACACACTGAGAGCAACGGGTGGGGCGGAGCAGAGGGGCAATAAAGTGCCCTCACCAAACCTCCGGGATAAACGGACCGGGTGGATCGTGGAGCAGATGCAGAGAAGTACGTGGCTGGGTTGGTGCGGGCATCCCCCGGCGCCCCACCTCCCAAGGGGGGGAAAAAACCCGCACAAAACCTTCCCCCTCTTCTTCTTCTTCTTCTTCTTCTTCAGCAGCAGCAGCTCAGGAATACCGGGGCGTCCCTCACACACGCCTTTTCTCAACTGGGCTCATCCCTCGCAGCCATCCTCCGCCTCGGGAGGAAAGCCTCCTACCGGTTCCACTTGTTCCTCTGCAGGGCGCCTTGCCTCGCCCCTCCAGCCCGTTACCGACGGCTCGTTTCAGCGGCGTCGGGAGGTGTTGCTGAAACCGACGCTTTCCCGAACTGCCCAGAGCGTGCATTTGGGTCTACGGTAGCCCCGCACCCGCAGCGCGGACGGCACGGCTCACTTTGCAAAAGGCGAGTGGAGCGAGCGCGAGGCGGCTGCCGCTTTTCACCCGGGAGACGGCGGGCCACGTGCGCGCCTGGAGGGAGGGAATAAACCGGTAGCTCGGAGCAGCTCGACGGCGCCACCTCCCGGCGACCGCTGGTATATTTTAAATCCGTGGATGCTTAATAACGATGGTGGTGTGGGGGGGGGTTGTTTTTTTTGTTTTTTTTCATATGCAACGTTACATAAAGCGGTCGGTCGAGGTTGACGTTCATGGCGGCGGGGAGTCTGTGGTTCTCCTCTGCAGAATGAGTAGGAGGAGGTGCAGCAAAGCGGGCTTGCAATGCTGCGAAGTCAGTGAAGTAATGCAAACACCCACCGGAGGATGGAAGAAGGCTTTTAAACTCCCTCTAAAAAAATGACCGAATATGGCAGCTTTCATAGCACCCAAACTTGAAGCCGCTGTTATTCCCCGCCAATTATTCTGGCACTCCAAACAATGATGTCATTATTTTGCCGTGGAAGAAGGAAAGAAAGGAAAGTCTTGGGAGTTGCGCTCTCCTGACTTCGACCTTTTGTGCCTTGGAGGTAGCTTTTCCACAGGCGGTTCGCTGCCTTCTCGGCTAAATTTCCCTGCAAAGGTGCAAGACGCTGCTGTTGCGTTAAATGCCTTATTATTCCCGCAAGATTTTATGTCTTTTTAAAAGACGGTTTCAAATGTCGTCCCAAAAAATGGCAAAACTCTGCAATACCCGCTCCTCTGTGATTTAAAGTGTCAAATCTTCCATTTGTTTGCATGAATGACCTTAAGTGTTGCTATTTTGTTCGGTATGGAGGTTTCCTGAGGTGTCTTTCCATCACCCTGACTGGAGGAGATGCATAACGTCTTGGTAGCATCACTCAGACATTTGTGAATGGAGATGAAACCTATTCACTTTGCTGTTAGGTTGGTACATTGTTAGTTGAATGACTGTAGAAGAGGCTACAAATCACATGTGCAGAAATGAACTAACCCACCAGACTCCTGAACAATTGCTGGCTTTTGTGACAAAGCTGCAGACCTGTTTTATGCATTTATATATGTATTTTGTGGCAATGAAAGCTCTGTTGAGAATTTGAGAATGTGAGGAAGCCGTTTAAATGACTTGAAAGCAACAGAGTAGAAGCACTTAGCGGCAAATGGAGCAGAGTTAGAGAAAGGAAAGGCGTAGAAGCATGAAAATGAGAAGCTCTGGTCTTCTCCTTCTCCCCCTAGTGCTTCTACAACACTTAATCAGAAGTGGGTCAAACAGGACAGTCAGAAAACAGTTCTGAAAACCAACATCCTTTCGCCTGCTAAGAAGAGTTAAAAGAAGCTGGGAGTCATCCCATTTAAAAAACGTGTCTTTCTCCCATTTAATGGTGTCTTAATTCAAAATGCAAAGTAGTTTCAAGATTTCATTGCAGGGACAGACTGAAGGGGATTAAATCCTGGTGTGGTAGAAATGCAAGTGAAGAGCCAATGGACTCACCTCAAAGTGGAGAACAATGAGGGAAGAAACAGTCATATGAGCCTTGGTGGTGCAGCAGAATAAAGTGCTGTTAAGTAGCACCAGCTGCTTGCAATTACTGCAAGTCCAAATCTCACCAGGCTCAAGGTTGACTCAGCCTTCCATCCTTCCGAGGTAGGTGAAATGAGGACCCAGATTGTGGGGGCAATAAGCTGACTTTGTATAAAAAAAAGAACACCACTTGGGGGCCGAAAGCCCTACTAAGCAGGTATATACAAAAGTATGAAGGCTATTGCTTAACGCATTGTAAGCCGCCCTGAGTCTCTGGAGAAGAGTGGCATATAAATCGAACGAATAAATAAATAAATAAATATAGAGAGTTGGGGTTTTCAGCTGTTCTTGCAAGTTGCTGCAACTTACCATCTCATTTTCAGATGAAGGATTCCTAGGAAGGCTGGTCCCTGCAGGTTGATTTTATCCTTAGATAAGAACCAAAAGGCTTTCTGATTTAAATGGCTAAAATGCATGTGGTTTTACAATGAATGGAGCAATTGATGCTAGGCAGGGCATGGGAGAATGACCTGTGTGACTGTCCACTACCTTTGCCTTGGTCTTCCATCACAATGAGAGATCTTCAGCAGTTCATGCACAACATCCTGCCTGCTCCATTAGCAGTCCTGGGACAGAATGACAATCCTTAACATAAGCAGCCTAAACATGGAAACCAATGCAATAGTGGCCTGGTTTGGAGTGGCAAAAGAAACTAGTATTGTCAAGCAATTGTGAGGCTATAAGATTTGAGTGAATTCTGTGTTTGATCCTGTACATAGCAAGGAAGATGATGATGGAAATATGTAAGAATTTGCCTAAGCAAACAATCTTAAATCCAAAGCAACAAGGCAATGCTTGAAAGCAACTTGGGAAAAAGAGTAGAAGAAAGAAGGGAGGTACAGCAGAATTTTGCCGAATTCTGTTGTTGTAATTATTGTAGTTAGTCTCAATAAATATAATTTTAGCCTTCCTATGGAGTTGATTTTCTTATCTGATCTACCTAATGGAATATGTCACAGACATGTCCATATTGTTTTGGGGGCAATGGTATGGAAATGGTTTGCAATTACTTTCAGATTTTTTTTAGTTTCCTAATCTAATCTACAGTTTCAAGAATTTCTGGGGCCCTCCCTTCAAGTACCAGCTTTGCTTTATTTTTCAAAAATCAGCTCCAATTAGTGCTCCCACTATTGGTATAATGCTATAATGTAAAGTATTGTAATTCTAATAAGGAAACAAATAAGGACTGAACTCCCAGTTCTCATAGCTTAATAAAATCAGACTCTTGTGTAATTTTGCTTCTAAAGACAGTATAAGGAGTTCTGAAATTTTGTTTTCATTTATTCATATTTTTTCTTCCTTAGACTTGATTGGGGACTCATTGTTTCTGAAGACTGAATAATCATTTATTTCATTCTGTTTAAATATCTGCATCCCCGGTACATTATAAATAATACATGCTTCTTGTAATCTACATTTGTTCCCAAATATTCCACTGAGAATTGCAGTGTCATCTTGTGAATCAAGAGGAAAATTAATTTAATGGAACAAATCAAAAGTTTAGGAAAAAGTCATTTGAGCATTATATCCAGAGTAACTATTAGACTTGCAAATCATAGCAGCTTTGGCTCCTGTATCCTTAACAACTTTGTCAAATACAGATTGCCAACTGCCACTAAATTTATTGACTGCCAGTTAAAAAAAGAATGTAAAAAATATTTGTCAGCAAATTTCACTCGTTACTTCTTTTGCTGGTAACAACTTTATAGCTGTGGTATTTCGCAAAGGTAGAGAGAATGCAGACAATGTTCAGTATTTATTACTATTTTAGGTTATCATTTTTATTTTGCATGGTGCATTTTGCATAATCCCATTCATCCAGTTTTACCTATAGTCAAAATACAGTATAAAGAGCAGGAATGTACAGCATCCTGAACAGAAGGCTTGGGTTCAAACACCTAGAAAACTGCCTTGTACCGAGTAAGAATATGCAGTACTGTCTGATACAGCCTTCTCTTTCAGATATAATAAAACTGCAAGTCTCTAGTTTAACATTTTTATTGAGTTATAAGAAAACATAAGATACGAAATACGAAAATAAATAGGAAAACAGTGGGGAGGAAGAGGGGAAGAAAAGTGAGGAAGGATTAGGAAAAAGAAAAAGAAGCATTGACTTCCGACTTGCTCTGTTGCAGTAAAATAAGGCATTAACATCAAATTACAACTTTTTGTTTTTTCATAATAATATAAACTAGCCATATCTATAAGGATCTATCAGTCTAATCGGTAAAACCCAAAATCAAAATTTCATTCTTTTCCGCTTCAAGTACAACGTTCAGAAGGGGTCTCCATGTGGAAACAAAAGTACTTATACTTCTTTTCATTAATCAAAATAGTCAATTTTGCCATTTCAGTCAACTCCAACAAATTCTGCAATCATTCGTCCATGGTAGGAATCTGCAAGTCTCAGTATTCCCTGCCAGGGTGGCCATTGACTTCCTTTAGAAAAGGCCTGAAGATTTATTTGGCTGCACCATTGTGCCTGGGCATTAGCTTTGGCAATGGGTGTATCCCCCACGATGATCAATTCTGATGCAAAATTGGGACCACCAGACACGGGTCCAAGCATCACAGCCTAGTAGACTTCCACATCCAGAACTAGATAATTTTTCTAAACATCAAACTATATTTTTTCAAAACATCAAATAAGGCAATGCTATTCCACACTTGGCGCTTTTAAAAATGAGTTCAAGGGCCATCTAAATCAGGCAAGACAGGGAGATGCTGGGATCCAAGGTGCACTCTAATATGTAAGCATCGAGTCTTAACAAGAGCCAGTCTGATATCATGGTTAAGGCATGAAGTGGGAGACTGAGATATCTAGTCCCACTTTAGGCATAAAGCAACCTGGGTGATTTTGAACCAGTCACTGTCTCACTGCCTGAGAAAGACAAAGGAAAACCATTTCTGAACCCTTATCAAGAAAACCTCAAGAACTTGTCCAGGCAGTCATTAGAAGTCAAGACTAATTTGAAGGAGGGCTCTCCTCAAAACAACTTCTCTTTTGTTTGAAGCTTGGACAGTAAAAATCTATTTGTTGGGAAATTCCGAAGAGGTTATGATTTCAACAGTTGTAGTTAAAATCTGTACAGTTTTTCCACTGTTTCAACATTTTATATTTTAATATATAATTACCATATTAAAATATTTTGTTAAATATTATATTGTTTTCTGAATTGCAGAAGCCACAAACAGCAAACCAAGAGAAGAGATTAGTTAATACGTTTTTGAAAAAGTTAGCAAAATTAATTACATTTTTGGAATGCTATCGGTCCAAAGCTACATTTCTTTTGCCACAGAAAAATATCTAAGCCTGATGGCTAAAGCGGCTGTTATATTGCACTTATGCCCCAAAACCAAGGAACTGAAGGGGTATTTTTTGCTGCAGGAGTTAAGTTTAATAGCCAGTTTTTAGATATTTCAGTATCAATAAATCCCCATTAATAAATAATACAT